TTTTAAAATTAATTAATACAAAATTTTACATATAATCACACTAACAATATTTTTTACATATAAGTGATTATAATAATTAATCCCTTGGTATAAGTACACCTTCATATAGTCACACCATTTCATAGTTCCGAGGGGTGTGATTATAGAGGGGTCGACTGTATTTTATATGATATATTAAAAACTTTATATACCAATAAAATTTTATTTATCCACTATACTTAAGGTCATATAAATATCAGTATAATTTGATATAACAATATTTTTTAAAAAAAATTCTATATATCCTGATATATCATTATATAAAGGTTAACTGTACTTACTTATTCTTGTGCTTTTCTTTCCTGCTTCTTATTGTCAAACCTGCCAAAAAACATATTCGCATTATCATAAAGCACAGTGCTGATGAGTGAGTCATAATAAAATTTTCAACGTAAGTGAACACGTTCTAGCTTGATTTTTCTTTCACAATAGGATATTTCAAATTTGTATTGATTTTTCACTATCATTTCTCTTTTATTATATAAGAAATAGGAAGTTTAACATCTAGCATAGCGGAACTCTAACTTCAAGGTAATTATTTGTTTTGGCAATATAAGAAGAAATGTCTAAATACACTTTACTCACATTCCATTTAACTATAAAAAGATAAGGAAATATGGGTCTATTATAATGATAACACAGTCTCTATCAAATAAAGCAGCTTGAAAGATTTGGTGGTATTTAATGTAGATGATCTGAAAGGGATAATCAAAAATCAGTTTAAAATATCAGGAAATGTTACTATTCGCAATAAGAGTAATAATTTGAAAGACATTAGACCTATCATAGAATTATACAATGTGGAAGATAATCCATATGAGATTATAGTCACAGAAAATGGTATGCATAACAATTGTTATTTCGAAACTTACACACTGATTTCTTACATTTTCCTTACTTATTATCATTAGATAACAAAAGCTCTTCAAGTAATAAGAAAGAAGAAAGTAAGAATGTATAGTAGAAACTTTTGATGCATCATTAAACAACTAGATAATCAGCGTCTATTTTATGATTTTTTTGCATATCTAAGTCATATTGAACCAAATCGTATTGAAGAAGCATTTAAAGTTAAATATCAAGATACAACCTTGGAAACTTTCTATTTGCGACTAAAACAATTTCATGATAAATAGTATCAGCAAGTAAAATCATACACCTCTTATTTAACAATCATACAAAGTTCCAGTTCTGGTAAAACACAGCTCGTGAGAGAGCTGAAAACCAAAGGGACCTATATCCTGTACATTTGTAAATAATATGAGAATAGTTCTAGGTATCCTGCATCAACACCTTATGTTTAAAAAATTTTGGAAACAATTTGGGACTATAAATTTAGAGTTCTTTTATCCATTGCGATCAAAGAAATTAAAAATAAAAACTAGAATGCAGATGAGTTTTGGAAAATTCAAATTAAAGATGATCACAAAACTGAGTGTAATGATTTTTGGCAAAGTATCTTTGAATCTTTATTATAACAAAAAAATCTTTCATCTGACTATAGTAATAATAATTTTGTGAAAAAATTATTTTCTAATACAGAAATCCCTATAGTTTGTTATACCAATAAGACACATGAATTGCTCACAAAAGCAAAGGGTGATGAAACCTATTTTGTTCAATGGAGGTGACAATTCAAGAAATTTTATAAGGTGGATTCTTTAATATTCTTTTCAGTATAAATGGAAAGATTAGCAATTTTCTTCTTCTAGTAACAAAAGACATTAGCTCTATCAGATCACATGATTTCATTATATTTCCTGCGTATTTAAAAATCAACACTACATATGTATTAGCATCATTTGCTAAAAATGCTGGTAAAGAATATAATTATGAAAGGGTGGTTTATCTAGGAGTTTCACTTTGGGGTTCGCTTACTCAAGCTGGAGTTAGTCTTATATATTTTGTTCATCTAGCTTCACAAAGATTCGCAATTTTAGTAAAAAGGACAACAATTATCTTGCGAACCTTACATATATGTCTTGCTTCTTATCTCTTGAAGTTTTCCCTTGAATTGTACAAGTAAATAATCTGATATAAAGATGAGAAATGTAATTAATATGTTGCAACTTTTAATGTTGCAACTTACGTTGCAATTAGTTTTAACCTATATATGTTGCAACTTATAATATTACAACATATGTTGCAACTAATTTTAGTTTATGTTGCAACATTTTGTAAATTTGAAATCAATTGCTGTACCATCTTTAATCTGATAGCATCTTATATAGCAACTGCGTTAGGAGTCATACTTGATCATACAAGTATTCTTTATACATATCCTTCTGATACTATCCTTGTATCTAGAACGCTTAAAGGTATTATTGATGTTAGTTGGAAAAATTGCTTAGACATACTGTTAGAATGTTTAGTCGTGGGGTTGTAGAAGCGGGAGAAAGAGGAGAACTTATTAACCACAACCTATTTTTGAAAGCATATGCAAATACTATGAAGGAATGTTTTCCTATTTTACTATTAACATGTTTGCAAAAAGTTCCTTTAAAATCATTTTTGAAGTCCTTATTTTGTAAAAAAGTAAATAGTTTTGATAAGTTACTTGAAAGCATGGGTATTGATGAGGTGGAAATTGGCTTTAACTATTGGATATTTTTATTAGCTACCAATCAAGTTTATGTGGAATCCAGAAGGATAAAGTTTCTATCAGAGAATCTTATCATAGAAGCTTATTACTGCCACACTTTCAAAATGCCACTAGGTTTTTATGTTATCGATTATATCATTCCTTTCAGGTATAATGCTGGCTATAGTATGATTTTAATTCAAAACAAGAACGCGAAAAATATACTTTAGTGGTAATAATTAAAGATGAACACCATAATTTAGAAGTTGCAACTCCTTATAATTTATTTTAATATAAAAATTCATAAATAGTTGCAACTAGTTAAAAATTTTAAAAATAATTATAGGAACCATCTTTAGTAATGATATTTCCTCCTTAATACATCCATTAAATTCTTTTAGTAAAAGAAAGGAAGATTATAAAATTTTAGGCATTTACATTAATCTTGGCTTAAATAGACACTAGTCAAAATATTTTTTTTTAATTGTTAACAATGCAGTCTAGCTGCAGTATTTTATTTATATTGTAAATTGAAGAAAAAAATCTAGAAAAAATACCAAAATATACAACTTACCCTCTGTAATTCTATTTCAAACTTGTTTGAGTCGATTGATTACTGCCACCCCCTGAAAGGGGTGGAAATAAAGTGTCAAAAAGCATCTTATTTCTAAATATCCTTCAGTCCCTAACTTCTCTTAAAAAAATTCTAATATTAAAAACAACATCTGAAGTAGGAAATTGGTACAAATAGAAATTTACAAATAACTAAATATAATTTTATAAGTCCTAGTTAAAGTCCAGTTAATTCTAGCTTAAAGTGATCATTTGGCAGAAGAAAGTATATCTAAGTAACTAGATCCAAACAAAGGCTCTTCATACTTATAGATTCATAAGTACAGAAAAAATATTACATGGAATTCACTATGAAAAATCTACAAAATATCTACAGATAGTAACCAATACCTATTACTTGATTACCAGGGAAGTATGAATCTAGACAAAGCGAACTTACACTGAATAAGTATCTTGATAACAAAGATCTACTGTTGTTCTATTTCAAACCTGTTTGAGCCAACAAAAATATCAGACCAAGTGGTAGCTACCATTACATCAAATAGGTAACGTTTGGAAATACTAAAGTAGATATAACACTAAATTTGCACGTAATCTTTAACGACAGAAAATCTGCAAAAAGGCAAAGGCCAATCAAAAGAGAGTATATTGTTTAGGAAGGGAAAAGGTGTCATCATGTGAGATCATGATTGTTGATTAAAATACCTCTTGATGCCCACTTTTTGTAGGTAAAAAAAAACGGAAAAAATTTTTCGAAAAGAGATGAAAAAAAAATATTTTAACAAAATACAACACTGTTTAGACTATTTCGAAAAATTTTATGTGAAAAAAGGTGTGGGTAGTGATACCTGACAAAATTATCTTTCTTAATATGACGAAATTGACGAAACTGAAATGACGAAACTAGTTTTTTATTAATGACAAAATTATTTTACTTAATTGCCGAAATTATATTTAACTTGATCTAAATTCCTTGAATTAAAATACATTAAAAAATATAATAATTTTATATTTATTCATATAAAAATATTAAAGAGACGAAACTTTTGACGAAACTACAATTTTTCAAAAAAAAAGTTTAGGCAGATATCATTAGATATGGGGAAAAAAGAGAAAAATATTTTAAAAAGAGGGGTTTTTTGTTTTGTTCGCAGGCTAAGCTGCGGTTACCTTTGAACAGACACTTTTTTAAAGTAAAAATTCTTGAAAAACATTTAATAAGAAGAAAGAGTTATAATACAAACTAATCGAAATAATTTTTTTTTAAATTGTTAACGATGCAGTCTAGCCGCAGTACTTTATTTGTATTAAAAATTTAAAAGCAAAACCTAAAAAAATACTAAAATACGCAACTTACCCTCTGTGGTTCTATTTTAAACTCGTTTGAGTCGACTGATCACCACCACCTCTAAAGAGGGTGGAAATAAAGTATCAGAAAGCATCTAATTTCTAAATGTCTATTGAATCCTGACTTCCCTCAAAAGAAAAATCTAACACTAAAAACAACACCCGAAGTAGGAAATTGATACAAATAGAAATTTACAAACAACTAAAAAATAACTTTATAAGTCCTAGCTAAAGTCCAATCAATTCCAGCTTAAAGTGATCATCCGGCAGAAGAAGATGCGTCCAAGTAACTAGGTCCAAACAAAGGCTCTTCATACTTATAGATTCATAAGTATGGAAAAAATATCATGAAGAATCCACTACGAAATTAAACTTCATCTATAGAAGGTCAGCGAGAAAGGATCTAAGGGTGAAATCACTTTTGATTACTACCAACTGAACTAAGCCAGTCAGCCAAAGCAAGGAAAGAATCAACGGTTTTTCGGGCGTCAACTAAACCAAGGGATTAGGATTGTTCTGGAAGCAAGCTTCACCACATCATAAAGAATAATACCGCTAAATTTGCAGATGAACTTTGATGATAGAGGATCTGCAGAAAGGCAGAAGCCAATCAAAAGAGAGTGTATTATTTAGAAAGGAAAAGGGATCATCACGTGAGATTTGTTTATCCAAAGTATATCAATCATGATCATTGGTTCGAATACCCCTTGATGCCCACTTTTTGTAGGCAAAAAAGAAAAAGAGAAAAAAAATGGAAAATTTTTTTGAAAAGAGGTGAAGAAAAAATATTTTAACAAAAAACAACACGGTTTAGGCTATTTCGAAAACTTTTATATGGAGAGGGGTGTGGGGAACAAAGAAAGGAATATTTTTGAAAGGTGGGGTTTTTTGTTTTCTTCGCAGGCTAAGCCGCAGCCGCCATTGAACAGACACTTGTTTAAACTAAAAATTTTTGGAAAAAATCTAACGAGAAAAAAGAGTTTATTATGAACTTTACTAATCAAAATAATCCATTTCATTACTTTTTTAAAGTGCTGAATGTTAGCCAAAATATAATCTATTTTTTTCTGATCATTGCCAAAACAATCAGCATTTTAGTTATAGCTGATGTTGCTTAATTCAGATGCCATACAAATAAATATTCAACATTAACGATTGATGATAGTTTGAAACGTTTGATACAATTGGCTTAAATTTATTTAACTAATAAAATAAATAAAATTCGACTTAATTAATAAAAAATCGGTAATATTTCAGCTATATGTTTAATACAATCAGCTTAAATTCGTTTAACTAATAATACAAACAAAATTCAACTTAGTTAATAAAAAATCGGTAATATTTTGGCTATAAGTAATCAAAAATTGGTAAAATAAAATTTCTGATATTTAGAAGATCTTATTAATATATATTTTTGCATTTTAGACAATTTATTAATTTTATAATAACGTAATTTAATCGAATTAATACTAATTGGTTTATTAATTTAAAATATAAAATAAAATATAAATAAAATATAATTATAAAATATAATAAATACAAATATAGATAAATAATAAAAGACAATTCACTATAATTTATAATTTGTCAAATTTATTCTTCTTCTTCAACGTAATCATCTTAATCTCTAATTTCAGTTCTGAATGCAGAAAAATCGGTGCCTGCTGCAGTGTTTTAATCTACAAATGTCCAGTTAAAAGTATTTCAAGGATAACAAATCAGTATTATAAAATGGTCGTTATAATTTCGAGTTCTTGTCAATTGTACAATTTGCAGCGAGAACGCATGATGGTCGAGCTCTCGCAATAACATCTCAATTAATAAAATTAAATATTGAAATTAGTTAAAAACTTAACTAAAATTATAAATAAATTTTTAAAAAATTATCAAACCTCGCCTGATCTCCAGCTCAGATTATAAACGTTAATTGCATTTTTTCTTCTCTTCTAAATCTGTCTCTAAATCTTCAAGGGAATGATAACGATTATCTTCCAAGTTTGACAATAATTGTTCCTTGTCATACTTCGAAATCCGTTCATCATCCAAATTGAAAAGTGAATTAGAACCTTTAATTCTTCAGGCCTTTTTCTATATTAAAAATATCGAATGTTAATTGAAGTTGCTTTTTTTAAAAAAAATAATTTCAACATTTACCTCACTAGTGCGACTGTTTTTGTATAAATATGATTATTATGATCTAAAGTACCACTTTATTTATATAATAAATGAACTTATCAATGCCTGTGAAGGACGCTAAGCCATTTCTTGACTTGTTTGTATGTCATTTTGAATCTTTTTAACATATTGACAAAACGTAGTATTACTTTTCATAATATTTCAGTATTTTCTACACTATTGAACTTAAGATCATATCTCATTTTGAGATCGATCGGCAGTATTATTAAAATCATTTTTATTTCATTCTAAATTATAAAAAAAATAAAAGCTGAATTAAGTTAATTTGATTGATGTAGATTATATTAGGTTAAAAATCGGTTAGAATTAAAGTTATTTAATTAAAATTCAGAAAAGTTAAAGAGTTTTTAAACAAACCCTTGCTTCTTCATTGTTGTCATACTCCTTTTCATCACTTTCATTCTTCACTATTGTGTTGAGTTCGCTTTTCTCAATGACCTTTATCTGTTTCTTCATCTCTACGTCTTCATTAGCTTCGTCTGAGTTTATCTCACAAACTCTCATTTTCATAAATAAGCGCTTCATTATCTCCAGTAACTTTGCTGAATTCTATCCTTAAATCTCTTAATTCTTCATTTGCATTGTTGAGTTATCTCCTCAACTCGTCGATTCTTTCATGTAAATATGCTTTTTCATAAAAAAGTTAACAATAAATTGATTAAAAAATATATATCAGCTAAATTTTTGAATCAGTTGTTCTAGAAGAAGCTTCTCTTCTTCTTAGTCCATAAGGAGTTACACTCCTTTCATCACGACTAGTGATACCTGACTAAACTCTTTTTTGAAAAATTGTAATTTTGTCAAAATTTCGTCTCTTTAATAATTTTATATGAATAAATATAAAATTATTATATTTTTTAATGTATTTTAATTCAAGGAATTTAAATCAAGTTAAATATAATTTTGGCAATTAAGTAAAATAATTTTGTCATTAATAAAAAACTAGTTTTATCATTTCGGTTTCGTCAATTTTGTCATATTAAGAAAGGTAATTTCGACCTAATCTTTGATATCTTGTGTAATGATATGGAGAATATCAAAACTCATCACCTCAAGAAATGTCGAATTGTCGACAATAAGGAGTTATACTCCTTTTGCTACTCCTTTAACATAATGTCTTTCGTCACTTATTTGCTGACATGTTGAAGACTTTTCAGGTGTTCTAAGATGGAAAGCTGATAATACCTGCAGATTCCAGTTATCAGCTTTCAGAATGGCATCTCTAACCATACCGGCGGTTGAGGTTTCGCCATGTTGATGTTTGTCTTCAATCCTGTAAATAAGCGAAATATCATAATCTCCACCTGATTGAGTTGAAAATTGGGATTGAGATTGAGTTTCTTTGGAAATACTTGATGGTACTAATAATTTGAATGGTCCTTCATTTGCCAGATCCTACTGACGTGAAGATTTTGATATTTCCTGTTGACTTTGAGATGTTGGAACCTGCTGACGTAATGTTTCTTGACTACTTATATTTAGTGGTGAAACTTGTCAATATGGAGTTTCTTGGCTACTAAATTGTTATAATCAGAACCTGCTAACATATTTCTTGGCTACTTAAAGGTGTTAAAGTTGTTGTCAGAACCTGCTGACGTATTTCTTGGCTACTTGAAGGTGTTTAAGTTGTTGTTAGAACCTGCTGACGTGTTTCTTGATTACTACAAGGTGTCAAAGTTGTTGTTAGAACCTATTGACGTTGAGTATCTGCCATTTTTTGGTTACTAAGAGTTTCTGTCATTCCCTAAGTTTTTTGTTGGCGCGTCACTTTCTGTAACGTGATAGATGATGACATACTGCTGTAAACTTTTTTGACCCATATTTCTAGTCATATTTGCGATGAAATATTAGTAAGAAATTGAGAATGGAAGAAAATGAATGATATATGTGAAAGAAATATGAGAAAACGATGTATGTGAAAGAAAGACAAAATATTTTTAGTGAAATGATATATGCGAAAGAGAAACAAAATATTATTTTTTGGTGAAAGATAAAATATTGTTTATGAGAAAGTGAGAAAATATTTTTGTCGAAAAAGATTTGAAATGTAGTTTGTGAGAAAATATTGAAGAGTTTGATTAAAAATAATTTAAGGGAAATGAACCTTTTATAAGCTTTCGATTAAATAGAATTTATTTTAATAGTATAATACATTGCATGTAATTCATTTAACTTTTGACTTAATGTGATTAATTCTTTAAATTTTGATTATAATGCAGTAATTGTTTTAAGTTTTGATTTAATGCGGTAATTGAAGTATTCTTTAAAGTTTTAATACAGATATTCTTTTAAATTTCTTTCATAATGTAAGTATTCTTTTAAGTTCAATTTAATGTGATAATTAATTTAAATTACAATAATAATTTTGAAGTTTCGATACAGATATTCTTTTAAATTTCATTTATAATGCAAGTATTCTTTAAGTTTCGATTTAATGTAATAATTGATTTAAATTTGATTATAATGTGATAATTGTTTTATAATTCGTTATTCTTTAAATTTCGTTTATAATGCAAGTATTCTTTTAAGTTTCAATTTAATGCGATAATAGTTTTAAATTTTAATTATATTACAATAATTCTTGAAAATTTCAATTACCATGCGGTAATCATTTTAAGTTTTGATTATAATGCAGGTGTTACTTAAATTTCAATTATCATGCGATAATTATTTAAGTTTTGATTATAATGCAGGTTATCAATTATAATGTGAATATTAATACAAGTTTCATTTCGCACAGCATCTATATTAATTGTTTTATTTATATATATAAATCATTCATTGATAAGTACAAAAAACATCAATTTCAAATTTTAAGATGACAAGAAATAGGTCTATTTCGAATATTATTGGTAATAAGCTGACAAAATAACCATCTCTACCATTTGAGTCAATTCAAAAAAAAAGTTAACAAAGTTCCTTATTATTGTAATAAGTGTAATAGAAAATTAGTTTTAAATCAGACTAAACTAAGGTTGCTGGACAAAATTAAGAGTTTAAACAGACGTCTAAATGATAAAAGTAAAACTTGGTTAAATTATATTAAAACCTTATTAAAAAATTTGCGAAATTTGGAAAAAGGTAAAACTATATCAAACACTTAGTAAAAATTTAGCAAAACTAAAGGTTTAACTATTTTGCCAAATCTAAAATGACCTTAGACCAAACTTTTTCATGAATCGGCAAGTGGTTCATCAACAATTCATGACGGCTTTGCTATCAAACAATTATATTCAAATTTTGATGAATTAATACTTGATACTGAATCACCTGCTGAAATCGAATCATAAGATTCGAGGAGTGAAATGATTGATGATAATTCACAAGTTTTAAGAATCGAAATGACTGATCATTATCTAAAATTACCGAATTTACTTTAAAAGCGTATAAGAAGGTATAAAAGTCATCTGTAAGTTACTGACGATTTGAGTGACTCTGAGAATAAGTAACATACTGAGTCTTCTTTAAGCAAGAATAATGACATAACGAAAGATGACATATCAAATCTCCTATGAGTGAAGACGAAAGTATTTTTAAAGATTTACTTGTTTTTAAAACTTTTGAAGATTATTCTTCGCTGAAATATGAACCATATCAAGATGAAGAAGAGGAAATAACGATTGATAATCAATTTGCATAGATTTTATTATGGTTAATGAACTTTCGAATTAGGTTTAACATATCAGAGATTGCAACTGAATCTCTTATAAAATTTATGAAATTAGTTCTAACTGAAATCAGCTGTGATAAGCTTAACAGATTTCCAAGTACTTTTTATTTAGCAAAGAAATCGCTTGGCCTTAAAGACTGATTTCATAGTTTTGTACCTTATACAAAATATCATAAACTTTACAATAGAGATGAAGTGATGAACTTTTGATAGAATGATACTTTATTAATTATGAAATGCAATCATGTCGAATTTCTGAATTTATTAATTCACAGGTTATGGTCTTATAATACACCATTGTCTCGTAAAATGGATAATTCAAATTTTTTTCAACCAAAATTAATTCATTCATTTGTCAGCATTCGAAAACAATTCAGTGTTATATTTCATCGACAAGGATTTGAAAATTATCTACGTCATTGAGCCAATAGAACAAGTTTCAGTAACATATTGGCTAACATATATGATGAACAAGTTTGAAAGACATTTAAAAAAAAATGGTTCAGAAATTTCACCGAAATATGTAACTGATTCACATCTAAGTTTAATGTTGAATTTGGATTAGTTTCAACCATTTGAAGGAACAATCCATAGTACTGGAGTATTATATATCGCAATTTGTAATCTACTAAAAGACATTTGATTTAAACGTAAAGATTTACTAATTCTTAGAATTATGTCCACCCAGCCTGAATGAAGTAAGTTTACACAAAATAAATCATTATTTAATACTAATTGTTGATGAATTAGAGTTACTTTGGAATGGTATGACTCTAAATTGAATATATAAATATCAAGAAGAAAGGAAAATTTGTGTAGCATTAATCCTTATTTCATGCGATATTCCTGTAGCAAGAAAAATTTGCAGTTATATTTTGGCATTAGTGTCATGTCATAAGTGCGAAAAGAAGGCAAATTATGAAAATTAGCAACATAATTTTGCTGGAATGAGTAATATGAACGAATGGTTTACTCTTTAGGATTCATTACAATATCGAGAAGATACACTTGGCTGACAAAGATGCAATTCGGATGCTAACAGAAAGCGATTTGTAAAGCATACTGGTGTTAGATGATCTGAGTTATTTCGTTTACCATACTTTGATCCAATTCATTTTTTAACAGTCAACCCAATGCATTGTCTATTTTTAGGCATAGCGAAATGGATAGTTAAATGAATTTGGATTAATGAGAAGGTTTTAACTTCAGATGCTCTTAAAAGTATCCAAAGGAATATGAATCAGATTCAAGTTCCAGCCGATTTGGGTAGAATCCCTCGAAAAATCGACTGCAGAGAAGGTTTTTCTAACTTCACAGCAGACCAATGATGAACATTTTATACAATTTATGCAACTACATCTCTTTGAAAACATATTTTAGTAATTGACCAAACAATTCTAACACATTTTGTTAGAGTTTGTTTGATTCTGATAGGTCAAATTCTGGAACTCAATTTGATACAAGAAGCTCACGAAAGGTTGATTAAAATAGTAAACTTATTGAGAAATATTATGAGCATGATAAAATAATACTGAATCTCCACCTTTCACTCTATTTATGAGAATGCTTATATGATTTCGGTCTGTTATATACTTTCTGGTGTTTCTCATTTGAGCATATGAATGGGATCCTCAATAATTGTAGTTTCTGTTTTTTGCCAATTTTTATAATGAAATGTGCTAATAAATAATGAAATATGTTAATATTATTTAGATTCGTTATCGAGTAATCATAGACCAATTGAGCCAGAAATAATATGCAAATTAATGAACAATAATTGTATTAGAGAAATCAGTAATTTAGTAGATATTTGAACAAAAGTTTTAGATTTGCTCAATAATCAAACTATTGTTAGTTCGTTATTAGAAGATAATGAATATTCATCTGATAAAATAGAGAGATTTTGTTCTAATTTGAAAAATATACGAAAATCAATTATTACTGGATGTGAACCATTTCTTGAAGAAATGTTAAATCCTAAATTTGATGTGATATTATCTAAGTCGATACTTAATTTAATGATTGAATACTACACAGCAACATATGAAATATACAATTTTAAAGCATCATTTGACGATGGTTCTGAAGATTCAATCATACTTAGTCATATTAAAATAAATAAATTCAGTCAATATAGAATTTGTTCAGAGGTGTTAGCTCAGCCATGTCATCTTGACATGTGAAAAGTTCATTTATTTTAGCAAATTTTATAACATTTGATAATCCGATTGACTTTTATGTTGATCAAGTCCAGTATTTTTTTAAGCATATAATAAATTTTGATGATAGACTGGCAGAACTAAGGTTGCTTATCTAAACTTATTTTGGATTTAGCTAAACATCTAAACTTTTAATTTCACTGAATTTTTACTAAATATTTGATATAGTTTCGCCATTTTTATAAACTTTGATATAGTTTTACCTTTTTCTGAATTTCGCAGATTTTTTAATAAGATTTTAATATAATTTAACCAAGTTTTACTTTTACCATTTAGACATCTATCTAAACTCTAGATTTCGTCTAGCAACCTTAGACAGAACATAATTTAGCATTTATTCAGTGGTATAAGTCAGTGGAAACATATAAAGTTCAATATTATTTTAGTATTGATAATGATGAAAACTCTTGTAATGTTGAATTATGGAAAATGAATTTTTTTCTGATGGTCGTGACAGTATTATTTCGATGCATAATATTCTTTGTTGATTTGTATCAGTAAAATATAAAATTTTTACTCGTTCAAATGCCGTTGAATATTTAGCTATAAATCTGATAAATCGTGAATCCTATATTCGTTAACTTTTATTTTGTAATATAAATTTTTCATAATAAACCAAAACCTGATTAATATAATACTGAATTATATATAATGTAACAAATGACAGTCAATTTATTATAATTTTCATGTCGAAGTTAAAGAATAACTGAAATTTTGCCACACTGAATCATCTAAATGTTTGCCAAAAAATCTTAGTATAAAAATAATGCTAAATTATATGTGTATCATATTTTTTTTAACAAATTTTAAACTTAAGCCAAATTTTACTGAATCACATCATTGAATCAGCTAAATGTTTACCAAATAGTGTTAATGCTAAAATAATACTAAATTATGTACAATGTAACAAATGACTATCGATTTTTGTAACTTAAGCCGAATTTTGCTGAATTATATAACTGAATCAGCTGAATGTTTGCCAAATATTATTAATACTGAAATAATGCTAAATTATGTACAATGTAACAAATGACTATCGATTTTTGTAACTTAAGCAAAATTTTGTTGAATCATATGACCAAATCGGCTGAATATTTGCCAAATGGTATTAGTGCTAAAATAATGCTAAATTATATACAATGTAACAAATGACTATCGATTTTTGTAATTTAAGCTGAATTTTGCTGAATCATATGACCGAATCAGCTGAATGTTAATCGAATGGTATTAGTGTCGAATGAAATAATTTTAACTAGTAAGAGAGAAAGAAGTTCAAGCAAAAGCAAAATTAAAGAGTAAAAAGATTTTACAAATGCGATCAAAAGCTAAAAATAATGAAGGTAAAAAATATGGTCAAATTTTTAACAATGATTATAATCAAATTACTCATATTCAAGACATTAAAACTTTCAAATGTGATCATGAAATTAATAAAAGACTATGTAAAATACTTTTCATATGTTCATAACCACTTAATACTCAATGGAGTATATTTGATAAAAAGACAAATTTAAAAAGGAAGGATGTGATCAAATCATTTTTACCTCTTGTCTTTGAACAGAAGGAATCATTAGTTGATAAATAGCAGTTAATATAACATGAAATTATTGATAAATGTAATATATTAATACTTAATAGCTGTAAGGCTTAATAAAGTCATATAATAAAGCATTAGTTTGTTGCCTATATTTTTTTACATTTCCAATGCATTGTTAATATTTAAAAAGTGATAATGTATTTTTATTTTCGATATACATACAAATTGCATACCAGTAATACCATACTATATATGCATATAATTTCAAAGTTTATTAAATAATTAAAATCAATTCCTAAAAAAATCACATGACTGATCGTTTCTGAGGGAATGGTTTTCTATAATATGCTATTATTCAATTACTATCCTCAGGTGTAGGCATTTATTTTACAGGATATGCATTGAGAAAAAGTTTCTACTGATCATGTCAAATAAATGCCTATTTTTCAATTGTGAAAAGAGTATTGATATTATATAACTATTTCATAGTAATCAGGAGTTACCATCCCAATTAGGTAAAATTTCAGCCTTATCTGACAGAATGAGTGAAAGCTTTATTATATCTTCGTCAATCTTACAAATAGATAGAATCAAGAATACAGGTCCTCAACAAATCTGAAGTTATTTAAGAATTAGCAAAATGTTCTGAAATTTTTTCTTTATGTATTTTTATATACTTTTTTTTGAATTTCCCCTCCTCAACCTCTCGTATATAGTTAATCTGCAAACTAAAGATGGTACAGCAATTGATTTCAAATTTACAAAATGTTGCAACATAAGTTAAAATTAGTTGCAATATATGTTGCAACATTATAAGTTGCAACATATATAGGTTAAAACTAATTGCAACGTAAGTTGCAACATTAAAAGTTGCAACATATTAATTACAGTTCCCATCATTACTGCAAACATATTATGCATTATAAATGTATTGATAATCCACAAAAACTGTGTCTCATATGTCTGTCAACTGATATAGAAATTGATAATTTGAAAACTCTAACAGAGCAGGATTCAAGTACTGCGCAGAAAAAAATTCTAACGAATCAGGAAAATTCCTCAAATAATACGGCTAAAAAATTGGTTAAAAGAGAAGATTCACTTATTTTGAAAAAACTTATCATAGAATTATCCGCTCCTATTCCACAGCAAATTTCTTCTGATAATACTATTTCTTTGCAGACGTTTCCAAAATGGATGTTAACTCAGTTAATTTTTATGAATTAAATGATAGGATCAACAAAGCCAAAGGCAATAATCAAAAAACTATTTTATAACTGATCTATAGCTATTACTATTTTGGAAAAAGGTATAGGTTAGGGTTTGACCATTAAAAAAGAAAGTAATCTAGAATGAAGATTTTTGAACCTTACGAATAATATGTCGCTGATAAAAATGATGATGTCAACAATGAACCTTTACCATTATCACTCACCAATGTATTTTTACGCGTCTACGGATACAAAGGATGTCACTGGTTCCTCAATTGCAGAAAAATGTTACACAATCAACAAATTTTTCAGCTACTTTGAAGGATACAGAGGGTTGTACTACAATACTAGACAAAGGAAATTCTATATCTATTTTCATACATTAGATTCCCTAACACAAAGCAACCGATAAAGTTAAAAAAACTCAATACAACCCAATTTTTTTAGTAATTGATCTCAATGCCAAACAACAACACAAAGACAATGAAAAAGGCAGATGCATTAAAGTCAATAATATATTCCTTTATTTGTAAAATCGGACATTATACGAAACGTCTTTGAAAAATATGGAAGGATCTGCAGATTTTTAATGATCACCAGAGATCCTTAGCAAATTGCTTTCATTGTATATGAATTACCTGACTCTATTCAACAATTTTATGATATCACTTGGTCTATCTTACTAATGGAATTTTCAGTTAGAATTGAACCTACTAATATTAATAAAATTCAAACTGCTCTTTGCTAACAATTTGAACTTAAACTCACTAGACTTCCTTTTAACACCTCTCAATTAGATCTCTTTGACTTTTTGACTCAGATCAAAGCAAAGTCATGTTTTATTTCAAAAGACAGACAATATTGTCTCAGACTATATGCATATATTAACTTTGATAATATTGATAATTATGATAACGTCTTTAACTTACAACAAAAATTTAAAAATCGTATCTTATTTTGGATTACTCCTGAAATCCAACACTGTAATTCCTATAGCTCTCCGGATCCAAGATACAATCATGTGATAACTATTCTCGTCCTAATCCTTTTAAACCTCTTTACAATAAATTCAAACCAGCTCAATACAAATCTAAACCTTTCACACCACGATCTAATATTTCATGTAATCACAAGTCAAATAATCAATCAAAAAGATACTCTTATTCTGACTCTATTCAAAATAGAAATGATAATCAAACGAATCATTCAGGTAAACAAAATCAAACATCTTCTCCAACTGTTGCCTCAGCTATTAAATCAATGATGAAACAATTAACTTCCTTGGAAAATAAATTTCAATTACTGGAAGATAAATTAATTAAAACTCAGAACGCATGCGTTAAATTAAAACAAATCCAACTTCACACTATTAACTGAGTTAAAATCACTGAAAATTAACTATATATCAGTAAACGAATTCCATTTAATAATACATTATCAAATGATTTTGCTTTAAATAAAAATGATTATTCCTTTTCAAACGAATTCATTTCAATTCAAAATCGTCTTCCCATTGCATCACATTCTTCATCTACATCACATGACCAAATGATCGACTAACAAGAAAGACAAATTTCATTATTACAAGATAATTTCAGCGATACCAAAAATGATTTCAAAATTATGAATGACGCTATGATGCAATTTTTACAAACACATTCTAATACTTCTCAATGAATACTACACAACAAATAAACATATCTCTCTTTTACAGGCTAAGTGAAGAGAATAACAATTTTAAAATAGCAACTCATAACGTTAGAAACTGTATTTCAAACGAAAAAAGAAACCAAATTGAATAATTTCTTCACTTCATAACTTTGATATTCTTGATCTCTCTAAAACTCATCTAACTATGCAACAATCTTATTCTATTTACAATAAATTCAAATCACCTGATCTTCCATTTAAATACTTTTTATTAAATGAAAATCATTCACAAAATTATCAAGAAGTTGGTTTTATTGTCAAATCCTCTATTTCTAAACATATTTTTAATTATTAAGGCTTCTATAATAGAATCATTTTCAAATGAAAAATAAACAAAAACTTCAAATCATTTAAATTTACCTTCCTGCTAATACACACATTACTACCGATAATCAACATAGACTTAAAATACAACAAAAGATTCTTGATCTAATCTTAGAAGCCAAATCAAAAAATTATCATCATATTGTTATAGATGATTTTAACATTGACATCAAATGCAAATATTCCTTATCAAAAAAGATACTTATACTTTCTCACGCAACTTAAAAATCTTGGCTTAATAAACAATTTAAAAATCTTTAATCAATCCTATCCATCAACCTTCTTTTTTTCAAACTCTTCCTCTTCCCTTGACTATCTTTTCTCCTCCTCTTCCCTCACACACAATCTTACTTTTTCAACCTCTTTAAATACTTACTCATATAATTACGAATCTGATCATACTCCATTGGTTTCTTTTTTCTACAAAAATAATATCTTTCATCAAAAATCTAACGCCTCGCTCAAACAAAAAAAATTGACCAAAACTTATGATAAAACTTCTAAAGAAACATGGAACAAATTCTCAACTAAATTAGACAATTTAATTTCCTAAGACCCTTTATTGCATTCTCTCAATGAAGATTCTCAAACTTTTTCTCATAATGATCTTAACTCTATTTGGGATTCCTTCAGCTATATGGTTATTCAAGCAGCTTAAAATACTCTTTCTAAACACACTACCACTAATCAAAAATCTACCAACTTCTTATATAATCATCAATCTTCATATAAATCTCTTAACAAAATCAACAAATTTTATCACCAATGTTACAAAGATTATAATCGTAAATTACATTTCAATATAATCAATCACAATAAATATACCAATATTATTAATCAATTAATAGAGCAAAATATTTCTACCTATGATATCAAAACAGCATACGATAATAAATCTTTTCCAGCATTCCTAACTAGTCTCAAAGAAGCCATCATCCTATATAGATCAAAAATCAAACTTTTGGATAAAATGAAAGACAAACAATGTATTGCTTTTTTTATATATCAACATATCAATAATTTCACTGATAATCCATCAGCAATGATCGATTCCTGTCTCAAAAGAAGAAAAACATCAATTATACTGGATAGAGTTCTCATAAAAGATAAACAAAATCAACTATACTTGAAGCTTAACCCCTCTAATATTCTTTCACATACCAGTAATCACTTTCAAAAAATAGCCAATTCTACAAACTCAAAAAAAGAATCACATTCTTCCTGGAATCTATGGCAACAAAACTATGATGGTTTAGACTATATTGATGAAAATTGCTACTACTCACTCTTAGACCTTTCTGACTTTAATGAATGGATTCAACTGATCAACTCTTTTCCAAACGATAAAGCTGCTGGACCTTCAGGCATTACTTACGAACTCATTAAACATTTTCATACTAAAGCTTTTAAATTGCTCTTTAAAATTTTTCACATCTGTACAATTCTGCAAGACATTCCTGCAAGATGGAAATTAGCTTACATTTATCTAATACCCAAATCCAAGCCATGATAATGTGATTTCAATAATACTAGGCCAATTACTCTTTTAGAAACAGCTAGAAAAATTTATGTCAAATTTTTAACAAATCAATTATCCAAAATATGTATAGAATATTAAATCTTAAAAGGATTAAACTTTGCAGGCCTTCCGCATAATTCAACTATAGATCCACTTTATATAGTTAATAATATTCTGAAATCGTCTAGATCTGATGCTCGTAGAAACAAACTTTGAAGAATCATGCTCCTACTCAAAATTTATTTATTTTATTTCAAGATATATCCAAAGCATACAACAAAGTAAACATTTACATGCTTCAAAAAGCCATGTCTCAGCTTAAAATTCCTATTAATTTCATCAATATCATCACCAATCTTTTTTGAACAGGAAAAATAGAGTTTACATACAATATGACTTATCATCTGAATACGATGTTTTAGTTAGTATTGACCAAGGTGAAATTACCTTCCCTCTTTTATAGATCATATACTATGACCCGTTATTATATAAAATCCAAAAATTAAATCTAAGATACAACTTGTCTCAAACTTGGTTTTCTAATCTTAATAATTCCATTCCAACATCAGATTCTGTTAATATAACTGTTACTGCTTACATAGATAATACTACTTGGATCTCAAATAACATTTCCAACCTCAAACAGATTATTGATATAACTGATACTTTCTATTCAATTAAACAATATTCAGTTCAATTTAGAAAAATCTTTTGTAATCTTGACATTACTGAATCAAAATCAAAATATCACACTTAATCTTCCTACTACCAGAAAATCGATCAGTGTCAGATCTGAATCGGTTAGATACTTAGAAGTTTGGATTAGTATTAACTATAACAAAAAATTTCATCATCAACCAACTAAAAGATATTATCAATGACTTTGTTCTTAAAATTAAATTTAAACCCATGACCGACAAAATGGTTTGATATTTAAATAACGCTATTCTTATTCCAAAACTAGAATATAGATCACAATTATCTCTTTTTTCTAAATAAGAGTGTAACAGATTATACATACCAATTAGATCTGTTATCAAACACAAACTTAGAATGAATAAATGTTTATCAAATAGCATATTTAGACATCATTTAACATATACCTACAGAGATTTCTATGATGTTCAAACGCAGGCAAAATATGATTACTTCACTAAACTGATCAATCAGAATAATCTCACAGCTATTACCTTCAGAATTCATCTTAGACAAATTCAATTTCAACATCATTTACATGACAATCCACTCATCTCTTAGAACTTATCAAATCCTCCATCAAAGAACTCCAGTTTTTTAGAAGCTCTTTCAAATAATTTACAGCATTTGAACATCAATTTTACTCAGCCAACAAATGATTTATTCCATATTAAAGGGGGTCAAACTCCTTTGTCTAGTATTATTTTTATTAATAACCAGGATCTGACTTCCTTAATTACCTGTCACATTATGTTTTTAGAACAATTAATAGTTAGTAAAGGCCTTTATCTTATACCATATAGCAATCTCAAATATAAGACCTTTGAATCTCTTTTTCAAATAAGCAAACTTCCAAATTGATATCTT